TGTACACTCTCATTAGATTATATTTTTGATCATATTTTTGCCAGCTCTCATAGTGAGCTAAAGGCATTTTGTTTAAAGAAAGGCTTAAATTTTGTTGTAGATTTAAAAACCTGTACCTCCAGGCACTCCTTCCCTGGAAGTCTTTTACATTTAGTCCACTGCCATCTGGACATCTCTTATATTTTATAACACAACTTTAATCTACACTGGACTTCAACAGCCTAAAAATAACTTTGAAAAAAATTTTTTATGTGAGTCTCACAATAACCTAGTTCAGATATTACTTTCCTTATTAGATAAAGAACACTGAGAATTGGGGCGCCTGGGTGGCGCAGTCGGTTAAGCGTCCGACTTCAGCCAGGTCACAATCTCGCGGTCCGTGAGTTCGAGCCCCGCGTCAGGCTCTGGGCTGATGGCTCAGAGCCTGGAGCCTGTTTCCGATTCTGTGTCTCCCTCTCTCTCTGTCCCTCCCCCGTTCAGGCTCTGTCTCTCTCTGTCCCAAAAATAAATAAACATTGAAAAAAAAATTAAAAAAAAAAATAAAAGAACACTGAGAATAGAGAATACAGACAGGTTAAATGACTTGACCAAGATAATAAATAAGGCTGAGAGAATTCAAGGTCTTCTGATGCCAAATCCTATCCTTATTTAGTCCCAAGTAGTTTCAAAACTGTGCTCGGATATATCCAAGGACTCAGGAAATGTCCTATTCATTTAAAAATTCTTAATTTAAAAATATATTAAGAAGCAACACTCTTTCAGATGCATTTTTATATTAAATACTTCATAATCCATTGTCGTGCTTCCAAATTAACTTGTCTCTAAATAGGTCCCAGGATAAAACCCTATTGCTTTCATCATCTTCAAATGTTAAGGACACTTAGAAATGTGTCGCTGATGAGGAAGGATATAATTCTGCACGAGTCTTTCAGAATATTTGGGCGAGGATCCTGCTGCAGGCGTAGGAAGAGTGTAGGTGCACCTGCTCAACAAGGCTCCCTTCGTGGTTGACTGCTGCGATGTGGGACAAGCCAGCCAGTGACATATCGTGTGGGAACAACATCATGATATGTGTAGGTTTAGCAGTTATAAGCATCAGAAGCTTGTCTGATTTTTGTATTTATAGTAAATGATTTCGGGATTTGTTTTCAAAATAAAAAGTTCCCATTACTTTTTTGATTTCCTGCAGCAGTTTAATTTAAAAGTGAAAGCACTTGTCTCTGTGAATCAAGACTTTTTCCTTATATTGAGCAACCAAAGCAAAGTGCAAAAACAAACTGGATTATTGAGGCTATAGCACAATAAAGATATACATTTTTAATATAACTATACCTTCGACAATGAGAAGACACTCCTTTGCGTTATCTACTTATATCACTTTCCATGTATTTTATATAGTACGGTTTTTCATTGGGTTCAGATTTCATTTGAAAAAAGGATTATGCTGCTATACTAAAACATGTTTGAGAACTGTCTTACCATGTTGTCCTCCTATCAGTGACCCTGCTTTTGGTTTTCAAATTTCTCAAGATTTTTATAATTCTGTTGATGATTAGGAATTTGGTTTGCCTTTGATTAAAAAAAAATGTATCTAGGAAGTCTAGCAACCTTAAAATATTTGAAAATGTTTAGAAGGAATGACCAGTTTTTTGTCTTGAAATTCTTTAAATTATGTGACTTCTGAGTCATTTCCAAATATAGGCTTAGTAAAAGAAAATCTATTTCTTTTTGCTCTAGTACTTTTGAATGATGAGCCAGGTTTTGCAGCTTTTAAAATCCTAGGAATAACAGAACGGAAACCAGTCTTTTTAGTTAAAACATGGGTTTTATGAAGCTCCTTGTTTATTTGGGTGAAAATTGGTTAAAAAGGCTAGGACATGGTTGGATCGATATAATTTTGTCACGCAACAATTACTGGAGTTAATACTTGATATGCAAAAATGAATTCATGATCCTTGCCTTTGAATTTAAGAGTCAAAAAGAAAAATAGGTGAGCTGAAAATTACAGTGTAATCTGATAAATGCCATCACAGAGAAACGGAGTGTACTATCTTTGTAGGCAAGGGGTGGGGGGGGGGCCTGGAACCCTTAAAATATATGGCAGTTGGGGGATCAGTGAATGTAGTTCACTGTGACTAAGGAGTAGGGTGTTTTGAGGGAAGAGGTGTAAGAAAAGACAGGATGTTGTTAGCTTGGTGGAGGGGCAGCTGATAAATTTGGAGACGTAAGTTGGTCTACATCGTGAAGGGCAAGTGTGCCCTTTCGAACAGTTTAGACTTCCTGTGTATGCTGTGGAGATTTGCAGTCAGGAAAGCCTTGTTTGGGGAAGAAGACGCTGGAGGATGGATTTAGTAAAGGGAGAAATTGGTTCAAGTATTCAGCAAACATTTATTGAGCACCTGTTGTGTGAAAGTAACTATTCTAAGCACTTGGGATACAGCAGTGAACAAAAAGACAAAGACCTCTGCCTTAGGGAGCTCACCACTTCTGGTGAATGATGATAGACAGCATGCCAATAAACACAGTAAATACATGAATCATATGGTATATTAGGAGGTAGTGAATGCTAAGAAAGAAGAAAAAGTAGGCTAAGGGAGTATGAGAATGCTCCCTAGGGAGTAATTGGAATGTAAATAAAGTGGCAAGATGTCCAGTTCAGAAGCTGTTACCTTGACCCAGATGAGGAATGGTAAGGACTTAGGCTTACTTGTGGGACTTTATTTAGAATGGAGAGAGAATAAATTGGGAGATGTAGTTTTCTTTTTCTCTTTTGACGCTGGAAACACAGATAGAAACTTGATAAAACAAACCTATAATGTAACGAACTAGAAGATGAACCACCTTGTAACAACCACCCTGGTGAAACAATGAAACTTTGCCACACCAGAACCCCTTCCTTTTGCCCCACTCATCACAAACTCCTCCCTCCCCAACAACCTGACTTTTATGGTTATCACTTTCCTGCATTTCTTGATAGTTTTATTAACCAAGGGTATATCCCTCACACTAAGACACCCTAACTCAGTCTTGCCAATTAAAAAATTTTTTTGTTATTATTTTTTTTAATCTACTGGTTTTTTTCTCCTTCCTTTGGTTTTCTTACACTTTATTAACTAAAGAACAGAGCCATTTGACCTTTAGAATTTCTCATCTCCTGGATTTTTGTGATTGCGCCCTCATGGTGCAACTTAACATGTTTGTCTGTCCTTTACATGACTTATAAATTGACAGCTGGACCACTGGCTTGATCAGACTGAGTGTCTCCCCTGTGGTCATCACTGCTGGCATTAGAGTGTTCTTTCGTTAAGAAGCACATAATATCTGGTTGTCTTTTGTAAAGCTAACAGCTATTTCTGCTCAGTGCCTAGAGTTAGTAATATGTTAGAGGTTGCAGAATGGTGATATTCTGATGATATCACATCTGTTTTAGTTATCAGCTAGAATACTTTTTATCTAGGAACATTTCCCCTTATCTATTATGTAATTACCCTGTGGTGCAGTTTCTATAGGAAAGGCAAGATACATGCCTTTTCCTTTATTTACCACTTTTCCAGGCAATCCATTGGTTCCCTGTCATCCTCAATTTTTATTACTCTATCAGGATTTTCTCCTTAGTGTGACCTTGTCTAGAAAGGGGGCGCTGGTTGGTCAGCATCAAGAATTCATAGCCGGTCGGCTGCTCCAGTCTCTTCAGACTTCATCTGCTGTATTCAGTTGGGCAAAACCCCTCCCAGTTTTAGCTCCTGTTCTAAAATTGGCTCATCGTATGTTCCAGTGAAAATAGTGTTGGCTATTTTGGGGTTCTCCTGTTTTCACATCCATCACATACCACACTGCTTACTTCCTTCTGCTTTTCCTGCAAAAGCGCTAATACCGTACAAGTCTTGTGGCTATTGGTTTGTCCCCAACCGTTTGTATTTTAAGTTTGTAGGGGATATCTTATGACCAAGTTTTGTTGTAAATGTTTTCCATGGGGTTTTGGTTTTCCCGTTCAGTTGCTTGGTCTGTTTTTATGTGGAAATCAGGGAGATGAAACAACAACAACAACAACAACAACAACAACAACAGCAAAACCCCAAACCAAACAATAACTCACTGTCTCCAATGTCATGTTTCATGTTCCCAGAAAGGGGTCGGTGCCTTGAAGAGTTAGAGTAGAGTTATGAATAAGTGAAGTTTCTGACTTAGAAGATCTGGTACATGGTCATTTCATAGATGAAAATTAAAAAATAGAAGAGAAGGAGCAAAGTAGTGAGTGGAAGATCAATTTTTGATTTCTTAACGTTTGAAATGCTTATCATGAGTTAACCCTAATAGAAATGCCTTCTGAAGCACTATGCTTTTAAAATTTGATAGAAAAAGCTAGATGATGAGAGATCAACACTTTGAAAATTACAGAAGCCATTATAAATTGAAGAAACTATTACTTTTGGTAAATATTACAGTGTGAAAAATGAATAGAATAGAAAGCATGCACGTGGAGATGAAGGAGACACGAATACGTATTTTGAACTAGTAATTTTATGTGTTTTCTGTAATTACGCACAACAAATGCAGGTTTGCATTGAGCAGCAATCTGACGAGGAAAAATCCATCTATTAGGGATGCAACTGGGTTTTTGGTCATTAGTTGTAAATGCCACTGTATATGTTTGACACAATATTAAGAGAATGGATTTATAAAAGCTGAGTGTTCTTCCTGCTGGAAAAATAGATATTAAGATTCATAAAGATGAAAAATCTAGATAAAAATATTAAATATTCCTAAGCTATAAGTTTTTATATGTGGAGTAGGCTGCAGTGTACCATCACAGATCCTGTATTTTAAGAATAGGTGAAAAAGTCTTCTTTCTTATGAGCTGTTCTAGATAATTCTGAGGTGCTCCGACTTCAAAAAGGAATTTTTAAAATAGTGTGCACGTTTGGACACTCCTTTGTAAATGACTGACTTTTGACCTCTGTCTTTTCCTTTCTTCTTTTTCTTCTTCTTCCTAAAATTAGGCCAGTCTTCAGAGACCTGAGATTAAACTTGAATCACTAAAAGAAGATATTAAGGAATTCTTTAAAATATCAGGTTTGTAAGTTGCTTTTTTCCTCCTAATTCGTTAAGGCAAAACAAAGAAATACTTTATTTGGAGGGAATATTTTATCACCGGCCTTCCAGTTACTCATTCAAAATTGTGAAACAGTGTCTGGATAGGTTTCTAGTTGAGGAGAATTAGAACTTTCAGATATTTCTATAAAATGCTGCAAAAATTCAGGATCACTGTGGGAATCACTGCTCTGTAGTAACCAGTTTTAAATACCATTTACTTCCTGATCAAAACACATCCTGAATGTGTGAAGAATCTCCCTCGCTAAGCACCTTCTCTTTTACCTTTTGTTAGAGCTGTTTTTCCTTCTATACTTCCCCCCCGCCCCTCTTCTTTTCTGTCATTTCAAAGAAAAGGAAATCCTAATTTTCTTGACAGCAAGAAGAGAGGTTCCCTATCCTAACCCTTGAACATGGAAATTGAGATGTTAAGTGGTTTACTTTTCCAGAAAAGTTCAAGTTGTTAGAGGCCAGGCTAACCGGTCTGGGGGTACCTCTAATAATGTTTCTGTTGTTCAGGAGTTTACGAAGTAGTTAGTTGTGACTGCTTACGATCTGTCTTTGTCAGGTGCCTGGCTGTTTCTTGCCCTTCCCTTGACACATCCCCCGTAGCACCAGCAGTGCATCACTTAGCTCTGCTTTGGCGTTCATTGAGCCCCTGAGCCGTGGAAGGGGCAATGGTCCTCCCATCTGGAGAAGATGGTGCGGTAGTTCTGCTTAAAAGACAGTATGTTGAGAATTTTGCTACTCAGTGTTTGTCAATGGACACAGTGGATGTGTAAGAAATAATTCCTTAATAACACTGACACAGCAATTGACAATTGATAAAGTTCTTTCACAAATGAATATGATGTCAGAGTTTTAGTGAGATATGCTTTATTACAATGTATGCTTATTTTTAAAACTAATATATTCACATGTTTTATTCTTTTTTTAAAAAATAGGTTGGGAGAAGAAACTTCAGAATGCTGTTTATAGTGAACTGAGTGTGTGAGTTTTTCCTACCTATTTTGAGATACTGTTACGTTTAGCTGTATTTACTTTGTAAGTAATGAATATAATATTGCTATGTACACTCATTATATTATTATTTCTCATTAGTATTTATATAACATTTCACATAAGTTGTTGTATTTAAAAATTACAGTCTTGCCTGAGAATGAGTAATGACCATATGGGGGTTTTTACCACCAAAATTTTTATATTAATAACTCCTTTATCCAGTATAGTTAGGGAAATAAGTTAATATTTCAGATAACTGAAGCTTATCAACACTCTTTTTATTGGTGCCATTTTGGATATTACCCTTTTTCTCTCTTTATAAAGCAACCATTCTAAATATAGTTAACTTTTTTTTTTCAAAATTGGTGTCATTCTTAAGAAAATCAGTGTTTTTTGTTAATCTGGATTTGTCTTCAGAATCTGTTGTGGTGTGTAAAACTATTTCTTTCTACAAAGAATATAGATCTAGAGTGTTAGCTTTTGTAGTTTATTCAATACTGCATTATTCATCTGTTATTTATTACCTACCATGGGCTAGCACTATGCTAGGCACTGGGAATATAGTATAGAACAAAAAATCAATTCCTACCCTCATGGAGTTTATAGTCTAATGGAGTTCTTATGTCTGCTGTCTTTTTTTAAAACTGCTGTTCAATGTGCCTGTGTCTCTAGCATTTTCTAGTTTCTAACACTTTTGTTTCCAACTCGCCCTTTCTAATCTGCTGTTAACTAGGAAATAAGATAATCCAGTTTATCAGAACTGTTTCTAAAGGGACTCAGACGAAGACCTGTGGATCTGTGCTTAGACACACATTTTAAAAATCAGTATTTGCTTCTCTGCTTATCGCCATTTTCCCAGTTGGCTTACGAATTCTTAAATAACCTCGTGTATAAGTGCTATCTGTCAGTTGAAGTTGACCGTAATGATACCCCTGATATCATTCCTCCAAGGAATAGATGTTTATCATGACAAATAAGGTTTTAAATTTACAATAAGTTTAGAGATGCCACAGGTTGCTTAAATGTGAACATGAGGATTTATGTATTTGTGACATAGAAAGCGTATAACTGTGTGGGTCTGTGTGTCCAGTACTGGTGGAATAAAAGCATCCGGTTGTGTGTAATTCCAAACAGTGAATTTTTATCTGAGGAGATTTGACTGACGATTGCAATTTTTGTAGTGTAATGCATTCCTTAAGATGGTGGTCTGACCAGTGAGTGCCTGTTTACTTGATGGCAGGGACAGAGTTTCATTCACTGTCTTATTTCAGTATCCTAACAATAGACATTAAGTATTTTTGTATAATCTGTTGAGATTTTTGAAGGACTAAGTAGTACCACCTTTTTTGCTCGCCTGGGTTCTGAAGAAATTGAGAAAGAAGCCCAATAGGATATCAAAATCATACTTTTATTACTGATGAAGACCAGATGAAAGGTTGTAGCTTAGTGCAAGAGCAAAATGGGTCCTTTAACTGAACTCCAGAATTAACTAGACTTAACCTTCTGGTTAAATAGCATCAGTGAGCACGTTCCGTTTATTATTCCAAAATTTAAAAGTCGGATAAGGCACTAAACCTCTTCGGTGGCAAGCGAGAAAAAGCCCTGGGGGGAATCTAAGAATATTACAGTAAGGGAGCTCTTTCCACAGGGAAGACACATCCAGAGTGGGGAAGTGTTTTCGCTAACATCAGTCAGAAGAATAAAGAGGACTTGGTATACTGTGCTGCATTTTTCATTGACAGAAACCATTAGATGGACAAGTAAAGAAAACAAAAAATAAAGTAGAAGAATTTACTAGGTTAAATAATCAGAGTAGAAAAAAAGATGCCCTCTTACCTCATAAAGGTGTAGACACATGAGCTATTCAGATGATACCTGAAAATTGTTCACTTCCTTTTACCTATTTTGGTAAACACGCCCAAGATTTTTGTCCGATTCTTGTTTAAAAGAGAGAGAAAAATTTCTGTATTCTGTTATTTACCTGAAGCTTGTAATTCTAGCCGAGGTTAGTTCTTCCCACTTAAGATTGACTACTTTATTTAATTATTGTTGTGTTAATATTTAATAGATCGTTCACATTGATCGAAGGAGTATTTTATGCAAGCACTGTGCTAAGCAGTTTAAATTCATTGCCTTGTGTAATGTAATCTTCACAACAACCCTATGATTGTGGAATTCATTATTGTAACCATTTTACAGAAGAGAAAACGGAGGCTTAAACTACTTAAATAATTTACTGAAGATCGTATGGCTAGTAAATGGTAGTACTAGGTCGTAACCTCCAGCTGTCTGATTCCAAAGCACATGTGTTTTACTGCATCTCACATATGTTTATATTTTATCTCTCACCTGGATTAAAAATGTTATAAGACAAGAATTGAATTCTATATTTCTTTTAGTACCTTCTAGAGCATCAAATAAATGATTTTGAGTCAACAGATGCCAATGCTAACATGTGATAAATATTTGTTGAATTGAAGAAACTCAGTTCAGTTATTAATCCTAAACTTACTAAAAAGATTTAACTAAGACAGTCTTTACATGGAGCATGTACCTTTTTTTCCCTTAGTTTTCATTGTACTTTGTGTAGAACAGTTTATTAAGAATTAGGTGACCTATCACTTTCTTTTAAGGAATATAAATTAAAGAAGTAAATAATCCTTTTTAAAGTATTTCTATATAAATATATATTATAAAAACATCCCACAGTCTACTGTTATAGTAGATATATGCAAATGTCCACCATACCTTGGAGAGGTATGAATGTTGAGCAGTAGTGGACCAAAAATGGGAAGATTTTAGATAATGGGTTTCTCACACTAGACCACAAGATAGAGTAAGTCTTTACAGATATTCATGGCATTTGTTGGAAGACTCCTCAGGCAGTACACCAGAGCACTCCCAAAATGTCCTAATCACCGTTCTTCTTTGCCTTCTTTTGAATGTTGCTTTAAATGTACTTGCTATGTGTTATGCACTGAGCTAGGAATTGAGGATAGTGAATAAGCTGGATAGCCTTTGCTTTCCTGGAGCTCACATCTCTGAGGCACACATGGTTTAAGAAGGCAATTAGAGCACAATTATAGTATAGTATAGTATGGATAGTACATAGTCCAAGAGGTGCTGTGATGGGCCAGACAAATGGGGTAGGCACTTAACTCAGGTCGGGGATGTCATGATGGCTTACCGAAGGAACCAATATTCAGATTGAAATCAAAAGCTAAGGTAGAGTAAGTCAGGGGAAGGAGTAGAGAAGAAAGGTGCTTTAGAAGGGAGCAACGGGCTCAGAGATTCAGAATTGGGAAAGTGTGGCACATTGGAGGAACCAAGTTCATGGCTGGGTGGTACAGGGCGAGGGACATGGTAAAGGACGATTCTAGATACGTGGGTAGGGATGTGCTGCTTCTTCAAGGCTTTTTAGGCAGGATCCTAAGAGCATTTGGGTGTCATTTTAGAATTTCAAGCAGAGTGGTGACATGATCGTGTCTGCGTTTTATATTCACTAAGCAATGTACTGGTTATCCAGTATGTGCCAGGCATTATGCTAGACACTGGAAATAGAGTCATTGGTGAATAAGGAAGACATTGCTTGTGGCTATACAGCCAGGCAAATTGGCTAATAGGCTGAAAATAGTGTGGAAGCAGGGGAGACTGCTTAAGAACCTGTTGGCTGAATACAGGCAGGAGATGTTGGTTGTCTAAAACAGTGTCAGTGGGATGAAAAAGGATGAGAAGGATTTAGAGGGATTTCAGGGACAGGAAGAGAGAAGAGTCAAGAGTGATGCCCAAGTTTCTGTGCTTTGTTCTTACCTGTCAACCTTCATCTCTGCATATAACTAAATGTGAGCTGCACAACGACAGAATTTTAGCCTATTTGTTTACTATTTTTATTACCGTAAACACTTAGTAGGTTCTTATTAAATACTTCTGAATGAATAAAAATCGAACTTTATTTTGGTTTTATATTAATGATTTTGGGGTTGCCACCTCTTGTTCCCTGTTTTTAATTAAATGTCTTTGTTCATTAAATAACTTAAGATTATAAGTAAGTACTCTCAAGTTTCAGTCCTAAATTAAGTTTTATTAAATTTGGAAATAACTATCATTAATGTGAAAGAATTTAAATTTTTTTTTATGTTTTATTAATTTTTTGGAGAGAGGGAGAGAGAGACAGCATAAGCAGGGGAAGGGCAGATACAGAGGGAGACCCAGAATCTGAAGCAGGCTCCAGGCTCTGAGCTGTCAGCACAGAGCCCAACACAGGGTTTGAACTCACGATCCATGATATCATGGCCTGAGCCAAAGTCGGATGCTTAACCGACTGAGCCACCCAGGTGCCCCATAACGTGAAAGAATTTTAAAACAATTTAATTCTAAACTACGTCCCTTTACAAATGATATATCAAACAGTATGAAGTATATAGTTTTTTTTTTAATTCAAGTTAGTTACCATATAGTGTAGTCTTGGCTTATCTTGCATATAAAAAGAAGTATTGAGGTATATGAAGATCGTAATTTTTTTTCATTTGTGAGTGGGGAAAGGTAATTTATTTAGGTACACAGAGTACAGATTTTAGTAGAAAAAACAGTTAGCTGGAAATAATTAGTTAATACAACTGTTTTCTAGGTTGGGTAGACCAAGTTGCTTTTTCTATTCCAGAAATGTTTCTTACGGGCATTTGAACATTTTACACTTAGGTCTTGGGATAGGTGCAGTTGAGCTTGGTATATCATAAACACTTTACATGTCGATGTCCCACTTTGAATGAGGTACTTCTTGAAAATTCAGTGTATGGTTCTTGATTATTGGAACATGGTTGCTTTGCTGTAGGTACAAGTGTTACGACTAATTTCAATAGGAAGTTACATGTTGTTGTGAAAAAGACTGGAATCTCTAAGCAAATGTTGAACTGTTGTGTTTTCCTATTGCCCTCTCTCTCTGTGATTTCATGTCACTGTGTGTCCGTCATTTTATTTCAACCACTCTGGCTTTTTCTGATTTTTAAACACTCCAAGTGTTCCTAACTCAGGATCTTGTGCTTGCTGCCTTCCTGCCTGGAATATCCTTCCCCCACATCTTTGCCCGGTTGGCTCCTTCTTCTCAGTTAGGTCTTACTTCAAGTATTGGCTCCCCTAGACACCTTCCTTATCCTTCCAGATCACTTCTATCTCATTACCCTGCTCGCATCTTCTCATGGCACTCATTACTCTCTGATATTATTCTATTAATTTGTCCCTTTTTATAATTATTGACTGCCTTTACTAGATGTTAAGTATATGAGAACAGGGGATATTGTCTCAATTACCGTCATATCCTTAGTACCTAAAATGGCTCAAATATTGTTGAGTCAACAAATGTTTTCTAAATAAAACCAGTACATTTGGAATACAAAGGTAAAGTTACTTAGAAAACAGAAAGAATCCATGAGACATTAACATTTTTAAATTTTATTAAATTTGTATCTATTAAAACATGACTCTTATGGAAGATAGCACTTATATTATTTCAACTATGTTAAAAATATATAGCGATATGGAAAAGGAAATTGGGAGAAATGAAAAGATATGTTGTGAGTTCACAGATTTTTTTTTGAACCTTAAAAAATCCCTCTAAATGTTACAATATTTATGTGCTAAAAATAAGAGTTCTGGTAATTTTTACATGAGCATTTACTAAGCTAAGTAATTTTAAAATTCCCCCAATTTATGAATTCAGATTATTGTGCAGTTCAACTTTTAACGAGCAATTAAATTGCTAATCTGAAGCTACCACGCTAGTAGGATAAGACTTAAAGTTTTATTATGTTGTTATACCTTCTGAAAACACACAGGTTTGCTAACAGATAATTCTGTTTCACATATGACGTGGACTACAGAGGTGAGTAATTTCTAATGAAAAGAATTAATTACTTATCCAGATAACGTATAATATTTAGCTGCCTCTTTTTGTCCCTAGGTTTCCTTTACCTAGCCATCCTGCTGCACCTCCTGAACATCTCAAAGAACCTTTGGTATACATGAGGAAAGCACAGGTTGGCTATTGTTCATTTTTCACTTTATTTTGCCATGCCAAGTTACATAATGCAGAGTGAAAAGTGCTTGTTGGTATCAGGAGTGTATGTCATTCATTACATGGAAGCCTGGGTAAGAACCACTCCAGCACAGTGTTTGCATGCTCTTCCTTTTTACTTTCAGTGACCGAGGATCACACCTGTTTAGCTGCAGTAATCCTGAAAATGTGTAGAAGAAGGAAAAAATCATGTACCGTACTGGCCTAAAATTTTCAACGTGATAAAAGTATTATGTGGCAATTTATTCCTGATGCTCTGAGATATTAAAAGAATGAGATGGGAGTGAACTGACTCACTCTCCCCTTAAAATTTTATCCGTGGAAGCCAGCGATACTGATACTGTATTTGAAATATGTTTGTCCTCACAGCAGGCTGCTACATGCTGTGTTCTGTCACAGAACTCAAATGAACCTGCTATCTAAAGTGGGCTGAAACAACTACAGTTCACTTTAAAAAATGAAGTAAAATGACGTAAACAGAAAAGCTGTAAAGAACAGGTTGGTAAGTCCTGTCACATGCCCCTGACGCTCGACTGTCCGCCTCAGCACGGCCTGGTGCACCTGCCTCTACGAGGCTTCCTTGCGGTACCGGGTACGACTCTGTCGCTGCTGCCGCCGAGGGGCTTAATGGACACCCACAGAGTTGACCTCTCTCAATCACGGTGTCAGAAATTATCATGGCAAATTTCAAATATACCCCAAAGAACTCCCATAAACCCATCACCCAGCTCCAGCAATTATCATCGTGGCTCCTTCTGCTACTCCTGAGAAATATCCTGCTGCTTTGAGTTATCACATTCCAAGCAGTGCACGTTAGGCAGCTTTTTATTATTCCACCATTTTTATTTTCACTTTAAAAACCTTCAAAATTAGATGGTGAAAGGAAGCAATGTAAACAAAAATCATAGAGATATTTGAGGAAATATGCCATATATTTCTATCTCTAGGTAGTGCATTTAGGTCTAGCAATCAGACAGTATTATCAATATGTCTTAAAACATAATCATTAAAATGATTCATGTATGAAAGAATTGTTTGATCTTTTGTTGTAAAGACGTAAACTCAAAAAAAAAAAATAAAAGGGTTGGGTCTAAATATTTTTTTGGTGAAGTTTGAAAATTTCTCAAAGGTGTAGAGAAAGTATCAGTTCTAGCATATTAGGTATAGGAAACATAACACTAAAGTTGTTTACCCATCATGACTGGAAAGAGGTAGAGAGGGAAATAATAGGTCGATGTTTCAAGCCTACCGCTGGTTGCTGAGAACACATGTGAACGGTAAGTGTATGCGTTGTATATGTACATGTATGTACACACATGCCTACTACTCTCCTCTTTTTTTTTCCATACTTACCCACTAACTCGGGTTGGCGCACTATAGTCCAAGGGCCAGATCTGTCTTTATACAGCTGGCAAGCTAAGAATATTCTTTTACATTTTCACCTGGCTGAAAAACCAGAGGAATAATGACATCTGTGGCCCATGAAAATGATAGGAATTAATAAAATACGTCGTATTGGAAGCCTTGTTCCTTTGTTTACTTATTGTCAGCGGGTGCTTTCGCACTACAATGTCGAGAGTTTAGTAGTTGCATAGAGACCTTATGACTTGCAAAGTCTGAAATATTTACTGTTTGCCCTTTTACAGAAAAGTTTCTCAATCCCTGCACTACATTATTCCTTCTTTAAGAGCAGGGACTGTGTTTTTTTATCCGCAACGTCTAGCCCAATGCATAGCCCATGGAACGCTCAAGAAGTGTTTGTTGAAATAATTGATTCTTTAACTGTGGCCACGCTAAATACCTCCTCTGCAGGTTAGTGTCCGCCTACCTGTCCCCTTGTATTTGTTCCTGTCTCCTTGAGTCATCTAGTTCTTAAGCTCCCTGATCTTTTGGCAGTTCTCTCCTTTTTGCACGAAGGCTACTTAGTCTGGATGGCGTAACTACCATCCCATCAGTGTTCTCCCTTGCACCTCGCAATCTCTTGCCCCGTTAGACTTCTGTTCTGCCTGCCATTCCAATCCTTAGCCTAAGGCTACCTCTGCTATCTACTGTCTTTTCCCAAACTGTGGCATACTTGGGAGGAAACTCACATGAGTTTTATGTTTACCGTGAATTCAGTCTAAATCCATTCATCTTTCAGTGGATTCATTTTGCTGCCTGTCAATCCTTTTACGAATCGTCATTCATTATCTGCTTTCCAGTGAGGTTTTCCCAGAGTTTTCCATGCTTGTGTAGCCCCTGATTCTACCTCCCTCTCACTCATTTTTAACACACGCCACTTATTTCATTAAGAACATTCAGGTCATCACATTCAGGTTTCCACAGCTTCCCTCTTTGCTGCCACATCTTTTTTGCCTCCAATCCTCTATGATCAACTATCTACTGTACGTGTCTTCTGTGAAATCAAACTCAACATGTTTAAAACTGAGTCTATGGCATTATTCCTAAAATGAGCATCTCGTCCTGACCTTCCTATTTCAGTTAGTTTCATCATTACTTATAGTAATTTAGACTTGAAATATCTTTGCTATTTTCCGTATCCAAATAGTCACTAAGTTCTATAAATTATTTCTTCCCGTGGTCTTACAGCTTTCTCTTCCTTTTTATTATTAAGGCCATTACCATAGTGATCACAGTGGTGATGAAGAGGAGGATGGCTATCTTTTATTGAGTGCTAACTTTGTTTCAGACGTTAATTCACATCCTTGTCTTATACTGACACCTCCTGATTTTCAACTTACCTCTTTCCCCATCTTCATATGTACTCTTAACACAATTAACTTTAGCTACAAGCAGGTGAAACCTTATAATACATGCCACTGCCTTTTCACAAATCTTCAGTGACTACCAATTGCCCAACAAGTTCCTACCGCAAAGCGCAACATTTAGGAATTTTTAGTTTGTCCCTAACTTTCCCTTTCACTTTATCAATCTCTGCCCTCCTATAACTGTCCTTTGTGCCCTTCCAGGGGAATCATTTTGAGTTTCCCTCTTGCATCTTTTAGAAAAGAAAAGAAAACTTTTCTTATTTTGTTTTCTTGTCCTGGAAAGCTCTTTCTGCCTGCTTAGCATTAGGAAAATCCATCTATTTTGTGAGGGTCAGCTCAGATGACATCTCTTCTCTGCTGTAGTTATCAGCCCTGTTGAAAAGGATCTCTCCCTCTTTTGGAAGCACACTGTCTTTTAGCATGCTGTCGTTTTATGGTTCTTATTATAAATCGCACTCTGTGATAGCAATTTCTGTACACATCTTTTTTACTTTAGTTATAAGCCTCTTGAAAGCAGTACCAATTTTAAAACATTTTTGTAGACCCATTATATCTAGCATACTGACCTTTATGTAGTAAGAACTCAGAAAGTTTGTGTCAGATTAATAGTAAAGGCACTTGCCATCTCTTCTAGCAATTATTGTGATATTCAATTAAAAGATATTTACTTAACAGAAGACCATGGGGGAGGGGAAGGGAAAAAAAAAAGGTTAGAGAGGGAGGGAGCCAAACTATAAGAGACTCTTAAAAACTGAGAACAAACTGAGGGTTGATGGGGGGTGGGAGGGAGGGGAGGGTGGGTGATGGGTATTGAGGGCACCTGTTGGGATGAGCACTGGATGTTGTATGGAAACCAATTTGACAATAAGTTTCATATTAAAAAAAAGATATTTACTGAATGCCTGCTAGAAGACAGTGTACCATGTGATCTGGAGATTCAGAAATAAATTAGATAAAGATTCCACCTATGGGTAACTCATGGTTTAATCACTGAAAGTGCTGTATGCTATGGGGGAGATGGCTAAGACGTTCTGTAGAAGCACTAGAGAAGACCTGGACATAGGGGATTCTTTATTAAGTTGTTCTTTGCTCTTTACAATCAAAAGAACTTAAAATAAAATCCAGTGAGTGTTTCCTTCTGCTTTTATTCAGTAAAGCAGGTTGGCAGAAAATATTTTGGAACTAGAGCCAGGAAAAAAATGTGATTCCCCCCCCATTAAAGTTTCATGAGTTATTTGAACTTCACTTAGCTCTTGATTGTGTCTTCAGAGTTGGGATGTAAATCAACTCTCTGCAGTTTTTGGCAGGCTAGATTGGTGTTCAATTTTCTGGGCTGATGAGGGAAACAGGCTTCTTACACCGCATCAGCATTTCCCAGAGTATTTTCTGCTGAATACTAGCTCTGAGAGATGCTCTACAAAAAAGGGTTCCATGGACAAATAAGTTTGGAAATTGAGGCCCACACTGCCTTCCTCTTGGTGAATTACTGTTTGTTTGTTTGTTTGAAAATTCGTGTCATATATTTTTATTTTTTATTGAGGCGTAGTTGACACACAGCACACTTTCAGGTGTACCACATGGTGATTTGGCAACTGTATACATTATGCCACGTGCACCACAAGGGAGCTGCCATCATCCAGGGCTATTACGGTACCATTGACTGTGTTCCCCACGCTGTACTTTTCATTCCTAGAATCACAGTTTACGATTTTTTTTTTACAAGGGTTTTAGATGTACAGAAGGATTGAGAATATATTATAGAGTTCCCATAGATTCCACACCTAGTCTCCCCTCTTATTAACATCTTAAGTTAGTGTGCTACGTTTGTTACAATTAGTGAACCACTATCAGTACGTTATTATTCGCTAAAGTTCATACTTTATTTCCTTAGTTTT